AAAGGACAAAAAGACAAAAAAAAAAAAACCAAACATACACTTTCTCACCTCTAGGGGATTATATGTGGTACCTCCTCTGCCTGGAACACTATTTTTCTGCTTTGTAATCTCAGGGCCTTCCCCCCCTCACTTCTGTCCCAACACACACACACATGTATGCACGCACACACACAAGGTTACTTCAAAAAGTTTGTGGAAGGGGCCGGCCCGGTGGCGCACTGCTGCAGTGCGCCGCTTGGGAGTGCGGTGGCGCTCCCGCCGAGGGTTCGGATCCCACATACAGACCGGTTCCCGCTCACTGGCTGAGCGAGGTGTGGGAGCAACACCGAGGGTTGCGATCCCGTTGCCGGTCCCAGTCCGGTACGGGCACGACACTGAGGGTTGTAATCCGTTGCCGGACATGAAAAAAGACAAAAAAGAAAAAAAAAGTTTGTGGAAAAATAGAATTAAAAGATATACAAATCTTTCCATGAACTTTTTGAAGACCCCTCATATATTCTATGTATCTTTCAGGTGTCAGCTTAAAAGTCATTTCCTCCGAGAAGCTGTCTCTGGTCTTTTCAAACTTGGTTAATTATTTCTCCTCTATAGTTTCATAACACTGTACTATTACTCCTCTTTTATTACTTATAATACCATATTTTAATTGTTCATTTACTTGTCTAGTTTTTACTATTAGACTCTAATCAACTTGAGGTAAAGGCCATTTCCTTGTTTTCTCAGCGTCTAGGAGGTGCCTGGCTCATATGAAATTCTTAGTAGATATTCTTTTAGTGTGTTCCTGTATTAGAACACATTAATATTCAAGTCAGTAGCTAGCAGTAGTGGAGGGGAAGCTTGTTATAACTAAAGTCATCTAGGAAGATGAAAGTGAGCAATTGTGTATGTTATATAGACTTTCTTCCCAGGTTAAGACTACTGCTTAAACTGCAAGTATGGACTTTAAATGAAGTGGATAGTCAAAGTGTAATATATCAGTGATCTGGAATAGCATCAGTTTTCCTCTATCAAATCTTGGATAAAAATTAAGCTTGGCTCACAGTTGAAGGTGTCTTTACACTAGTAATCATCTTGTGATCTATATGATTGTCTAGCAAAACTTTTTCTTTTGGATATACTGAAGGAATGTTGAATTTTCAGTTTGAATCCTTTAAATATGATATTTTCCAAGCTTGTCCAGTATCTAATCTGCATATTTGCTTACCAAATTTTTTTCCCTTTTACATGTTTACTTCTTTTCTTTCCTTTTAAAAAAATTTATTCTCAGACTTTAGGTAGACTATGAATCATGATGTTTTACAGTAATCTACTGAAAGGGAATAAAACCAAAATAAAGTGATAAATTAAGGTCTAGATTTTAAAAATCTGAATGATCATTTTAAACATAGTACTGATATCTGTACAACCTAAGTCTCTTCTGATGGTTAATGTAATCTCATCAACCCAGACATGGACAGTTCAAATTCAGTTCTGAAAACTACCAACTTTGTGTCCTTGGCAAATTACTTAATCTCTCTGGGTCTGAGATTCTTTATCTATAAAGTGGGATGATAGTGTGAGCCTCTTAGGGTGTTTTCTATACAGAGTAATAGCAATTAAGAATAGCAACTGTGTTAGTCTGTTTCTGTTGCTTATAACATAAATACCAGAAACTGGGTGATTTATAAAGAAAACAAAATTTATTGCTTACAGTTTCACAGGCTGGGAAGTCCAAAGGCCAGGGAACGTATTTGGTGAAGGCCTTGGTGGTGGCGACAGTGACCAAGAGGTCTCACATGGCAGAAAATGGTGGAGCAGAGAGAGACCAACCTCCTTATGTACTCTCCTTTTAAAGCCCTCAGAACCACACCCATGACCACCATTTTTAATCCATTTACTATGGCATGGTCCTACAATCTAATCACCTCCCTGAGGCCACACTTTTCAATTAACATAATGGGATTTCCCACCCTTCCAACAGTCACAGTGGGAGCCAAGTTTCTAATATATAAAACTTGGGGGGTGCAACTCAAGCTCCAGTGAGTTTGGGGGGACATTCAATCCATTACAGCAACTTTAGGAATTGCATAGCTTAAGTTTTTAGAGTAGTCATTCTTGGTGGGAAGAAGAGGTGATAATGGTTTTAGCATGTGTAAAAATGCTATCCTAAAATATATTTTTTCCCCCGGTGATAGCTCTTTGACAGATTGA